CAAGCAATCCACCTGCCTTGGCCTCCCAGAATGCTAGGACTATAAGCTTGAGCCACTGCGCCTGGCCCCCTTTATTTATTTTTAAAATTAAGTTATATACTTTTCTGAGGGTCTCACCCTGTCACCCAGGCTAGAGTGCAGTGTCATCATCATAGCTCACAGCAATCTCAAACTCTTGGGTTCAAGTGATCCTCCTGCCTCAGCCTCCCAAGTAACTGGGACTAAAGGCGCCCGCCCCAGCACCTGGCTAGTTTTTCTACATTTTGGTAGAGAGGGCTTCTTGCTCTTGGTCTCCAACTCCTAAACTCAAGTGATCCTCTTGCCTTAGCATCCTTGAGTGCTAGGATTACAGGTGTAGAACCCAGGCAGAATTCCAGATTCTCACTAAGCTACAATGGCTCCAGCTGACAAATGAGAAAATAAATTATCCAAAGTCACACAGCCAGTAAATGCTAAGTATTTCCCCAAGAGGTAAGATAAGGCCTGTCTGTATTCTGTACAATTGCATACATTAGTGGATAAATGAAATATTTCCACATTTTCTAGATTATCTTTCCATCCTAGCTGTTAAGTCTCAATTATTTTACCCCTGTGCTCCCAACCATCTTGCCTCCTTTAGAGAGAATCAGGAATCATCTCTCACCAGAGGACTCGGAGTTTGCAGCTGGGATGGCTCAGACGCTTGCACAGTAGCCGGACACCTGAGTCCCCCAGGGCATTGTTGGTCAGATAAAGCTCAGTCAGGGTCTGGTTGATCCCCAGGGTGGAATAGAGATCCCTGCATGCTTTAGCTGTGAGGCCACAGCTGTCCAGCCTGTTGAAGAGAAGGACCAGTTAGAATAACATCAGGCACTACTTTGGGAAAGCCTCATCTCCAAGCAGATGGGTCGAGGGTTTTTTTTTTTTTTTTCTCTTTGAGACAGAGTCTCACTTTGTTACCCCAGATGACAGAGTCATCATAGCTCACAGCAACCTCAAACTCTTGGGCTCAAGCAATCCTCTTGCCTCAGCCTCCTATGTAGTTGGGACTATGGGCACCTGCCACATGTGGCTAGTTTCTTTTTTTCTTTTTAGTAGAGACGGGGGGTCTTTCTTTTGCTCAGACTGGTCTTGAACCCCTGACCTCAAGCAACTTTCCTACCTCAGCCTCCCAGAGTGTATTATAGGTGTGAGCTACTGCACCTGATCTGGAAACAGTAGTCAAGACCTGCAGGTATCTTGCAGCTAAACTGGTTAGCCTATCTCATAATGGAGCCAACATATCCACCAGTGTGGAAGACGATGGAAATGAAGGCTTAGAATGGAGGTAGAATAATGCCTGAAGGTTGCGTGACTCTTCTAGTCACACAGTCAGTAAATGCTCCTTTTATTTTTAGAAGCCAGTATGGATTAGGCTGCCACTCTCAGCAGGGTGCCACTGATTCTGATTTCTTTCTTTTTTCTTTTTTTTTATTTTTCCAGTTTTTGGCTGGTGCTGGGTTTGAACCCGCCGCCTCCGGCATATGGGGCCAGCGGCCTACTCCTTTGAGCCACAGGCACTGTCCTATTCTGATATCTTCTTCTTTTTTTCTTTTTGTA